CGGGCACCTGTCTGTACGGTAGGGTACGAACTGCGCCAAATTTGATCGAAGATCCCTGTCCCCCTATTATCTAATCCACGAACTGCGCAACATTTCCTGTCCCCTACTTTTTTTCCCCAAGAAGATTAGGTGCTACAAAAAGTCATTTATCGCCATTAATGAGACATAGACTGCAAGCCTTTATTTTTATTTATCAATATTGTAAAAATTATGCATGCAAAACAAATATTAATTTAAAGTCTGGCGTGTGCTAAAGTAAAAATAAATTACTTTAAAATTTTATTTCATTTTAAAGTTTTATGATGCTTAAAGGAATGATGAGCCAGATCTTTTTTATTTCTGTAAGAATTAAAAACTTTCCAAGCCGAAGATTTTAGTCACTGATATATATATGTATCAGTTTTGAATTGTAAAATTGATAGCTTAATGACATACATAAAACGGATACATAATCAACCCATCAAATATCGGATTTGTAGCTCACCTTAAGTAAGTTTCTTGTCTAGATAAATATTAACAAATCTTCTTAGATAGCAGAATGGTTTTAACTTTCAAATTTACCATTTTAGGTAAACAGTTCTAATTTAATTAAAAAAATTCTCTTTATTAAATCTAAAAATTGGACTGGGTAAAAATTTCAGTTCATGAAGTAAAAATACTTTTTTAATATATTCTTTGAAAATATTGCAAAAATTTTCACCTTAGCATATCTTTTTACAAATCCCTCTAATAAGAAAAAATAAGGAAAGAAATTCACTCGGTATCGGTCATTGATACCTCGGTGCAAATTACATGTAACATTTTTCCAAAAGCATAGAATTTATATGGATATCAATAAATTAAGGATTATTTCTCCATCTAATTTTCTTAACATGTTTATCCCAGAATTTTCTTTCCACACTGTAGTGCTTAACTTTATAAGTTTTCTATAATCATTCAATTTCTCTAGCCATGGCAACTTTGCATACCTTTCTAACAAGTAGTTATATTTTTAACCACTGTATTTTAATTCCTGTTGACTATCAGTACATTATTCACTTGTTTCACAAGTGCAAATATTTATTTTATACACAAATCTACGTAAAATAGCATTAAAGCTTCAGTTATGCGGAGCTCCTCATTGATTGCTTGTTTTAGATTGAATGAAATTAAGCTAAATGTTACTGTTAATTAGCTTGTTATTAATTTAATTATATATTTCTAATTAATTATATGTTCAGATATTTCCAAGTATATTACTCAAACTTTTGCATCCCAATTTTCAATTTTTGGTTAAAAAATAAACTTTTATTTATTGAGAGGCCTGATTGATTATATTAATTTGCAGTATTGTTTATCTAATTCCTTTCTTCTAGATAAATTTTAGAAAAAACTTCTTAGCATAATAATTTAAATTTATTTACAATTTATACGTCAGTGTTCCAAATGCATAGTAATGTGTTATAATAATTCACATATTTCATGCTAAGCTTTTTTAAAATTTAACTAAATTTAATTTCTGCAAACATTTATTGCAAACATTTACATTACTTTAATTAATAAAAAATATTTTAGCACACTTAAATATTTTAACACACTTTGATATGGAATAATTTTTTGCACGCTAGTGAACTCTATTAAATTTTCCAGTCTAGTTCAGACATCTTGACTATTATTGATGTAATTTATTAAAAATATAATTTGTATGCTTTATAACTATTTAACTTATGATATTACTATAATAAATGAAAGCTGTTTGTAATGCTTTTATGTATGTTTACCAATACCTTTTATTTTCTTTGTTAGCTCTTGCATTTATTACTGTTATTCAAGTAATTAGCCTGCTTGTTAGATATTTTTTACTTGTTCTTGTGATATGTAAATCTATTTCTTTATTTTTATTTTCCTCTTGGCTATAACTGGCTTTGAAAAGTTAAATTGTAACCCTGTAGGCAGCAGGGGGAAAAAATTTTGATTGGCGCAGTTGGACTATAGCTCGACCCGGGGGGGGGGAATTTTCATTAGCGCAGTTGGAGTACACCCGTCTGTACTCTTCGTGCACACTAAAGGTTATGTTAATGCAGAGAAAGGAGGAAAAGCTACTTCCGGGAGTATGATTCACCATCTGACATTCCATATTGGGAAGAAAAGTTGTTTATTTAGTTTTGGCTTTGGTATGGGGAAAAATAGCACTTTCATTAAAAAAGCACTAAAAACAAAAAAATAAGGGCTTTACAAAAAAAAAAAAAAAAAAAAAAAAATAAAAAAAAAAAACAAAAAAAAAAAAAAAAAATTAAAAAAAAAAAAAAAAAAAAAAAAAAGAAAAAGTAAGCACCTATAAGGGACTTTATATTTTATTTTCAAATATAAGGACTTATAAGCACTTATAAGGACCACTATGAATCCTGTCTAATTTCTTTTCACAAAAATTTTAGTAATTTTTTACTCTAGTTTCAGTTGTCTTAAAGTATTAAAAACATTTCACTTGATTTTTTAAAAAACCTCTGCAATCCTTCTACGAGGGCCATCCAGGAAGTAGATTACGTTTCCGTTTGTGTCCGCTAGGGGCGGGGCTAGCGCGGCCATCTTGGGGTCAGAGCGTTGCGCAGCTCAGTCTGCATCTAGCCGTGCTAGTGAGAGGTTCGTGCTGTGCTCCGTTCAGATACTGTGACGGTTTGAAATGTCTGCGTTAATTGAAAATCCCGCGAGCTGCGAGGTGCGCTCAGTAATAAGGTTTCTGACTGCAAAAAACTGTAAACCGATAGAAATCTATCGGCAGCTTCGTGAAGTGTATGGGGACAACATTATCACTGAAGGTGGAGTGCGTCAGTGGGTCATAAGATTTCAAATAGGCCGAACCAATGTTCACGACGAAGATCGAAGTGGAGACCCCAGCATAGTGACCGCCGAACTTCTCGAAAAAGTCGATGCTAAAGTCCGTGAAAATCGAAATTTCACAATAACGGAACTTTCTTTGAGTTTTCCACAAATTTCGCGAAGTTTGTTGCATGAAATCATCAGCGAAAAGCTTGGTTACAAGTTTTGTGCAAGATGGAAGGCAAGAAGAGGTAACGAAGTGGTTGAAGGCGCAGGCGGCCGAATTTTTCGACGAAGGAATTTCCAAGCTCGTACATCGCTACGATAAATGCCTTAATTTGTATGGTGACTATGTAGAAAAGTAGTATTTGAGTGTGGCTTTCATCTGTATATAATAAAATTTGTTTCCTATACTTTGTTTATTTTTTTATTCCAAAACTGTGACGGTAATCTACTTTCTGGATAGCCCTCGTATATAGGATGATTTGCTTAAGAATGTAAAAGTTTCAGGGACTTTTCAGCTTAGTCAGAGACAATTCAGAGTTACATAGCAATATAAGGGTGCAAAGACAATCCTCATTTGGTAATGCAAGAAAGAAAATACAAGGAATGAAAAAGAGTAATGGAAATAATATTTTAATCAGCAAATCATTACAACTGTGATATTCAGAGATCACAGTAAATGTTAGAAGTTACAGCGGCCACCTATGATAAAAGCATGACACCAGAAAAGAATAGTATTACTGACTTCTTGGAATATACTGGATGTCTCACAGATGATCACGCTAGCTAAGCTAATGTACGCAACAAGATCCTTCTCATTGGCCACGGGTGTTTCAGATAATTCCAGGAAAAAAATCTTGGCAGGACAGGTCAATGAATGTGCAAGCCAATAAAAAGGACCACCACAACAAATCGCCCTTTGATCAAATTGTTGAATTCAAGTGTTTCCAAACAGGAAGAGTAAAATAAGCTAGGGTGCCATCATGCTGGAACCATATAATGTTGCAGCATCGCTACTGGATGCTCTGCTCATTTAACAATATAAACAAGACTTCCTCCAAGAAAATTTTATAAGACTGTCGTTCCAGCAACAACAGACAAGAGATATGGACCCATTAGGTGGTTGCTAATAATGCCAGCCCAAACATTGATGGAAAACTGGTGTTTTATTGCATGTGCTCGGATATTCCTAGGTGCCCGGTTATGCCTCATCAGTGAAGCAGCTGGAAATTTTGTTCCACTGCACATTTCTGCTTGTACCATTCAACAAATGCAACTCGCAATTCATAATGAGCAGGAAGCAGTTGCTATACCTACTACTTATAATATCGATACAAGTATAGTTCATGTGCAGGATTCTCTAGACAATGATTTGGGAAATAGGGAGGTTTGTAGCAGTCGCTCGTCTGCCGATATGTGAATTATTTTCTGAATAATAAAGCACTATCTCTTCTACTAATTCTACTAATTCAGGTTCATTCATTCTTGTTTTCCTTGATTTCTCCAAAAAGGTATCGTATTGCACATTTTATAATGCAACTGAGCAAACATCTGGTGATTCGAAATCTGCCTAATAAGGTATCACTCACTGTGCATACATGCAGCATTTCGTCCACTGCAATCGGCTTCTCCATATACTAGATGTTTTTCTTCTAAATTGGAATTACTGAAGCCTTCCATTCTACCTCCTCTGCAGTTGAATTATGAATAATGAATTTTGCCCGTGGAAATTTTACCTGTTCCAAAAAAAAAAAAAAAAAAAAAAAAAAAAAAAAGCTTCTAGTGTGGTATGAATGTGCTTCCAACCCTACACTCCTGTATATTTCACAGCCATCTTTGAATAACATATCCTTACCTGAAGTTTACATATGCTTAAGTGCATCATCCTACATACATTTAATATTACAATTTGTTAATTGATTTCAATGATCAGCCACATAATACATAGTATGGAAGACAATAATGCAAATATTTTCAGCACAAAGTTTAAAATGCATATAAATCATTGCACCAAAAACACTCTTTTCATATTTACAAAGCAAATATTCTATTTTTATTTTTATTCATAGCACTTCTTTTGCTTTGATATAAGATGATATTTAAGAACATTAAATTGAATTTAATAAAGTGTCTCCAGAACTGCATATTTATGCAAATAAATAATTTAGTACACAACCCAGAATAGCAGAAATATAACTCACCATTAATAACAGGTTGAAATACAGCAATTCCTTTGAATTTTGCAATAGCCAGATCTAAAACACAACCACCAGCACTGAAACATTTCAAATGTTATTACAACCCTATGAAACAAAATTTTTACATAGAATATTGACCGACATGTAGACCAAACCACAGAAATATGCAAATCAACTGCATTTATTATTATGTTTTTATAGAAGATATGAAAATCTTATTAAACTTTTACTAAATTTTTCTTTAAATTTCACTAATTCTAAAAAAAAAAAAAAAAAAAAAAAATGCTCATCATTATATTTTTAAAATAAATGATTACTTATAATAATTGCATTTTAAAACTGAAAAAAAATGAAAAAGCTATATGCATTTCTGATAGTAAAACGGATAACAATTCCTCTTGCAGGAGCAAAACTGTTCTTATGACAGGCAAACATTTTCATTCCTCTCTGAAAAGCATAAGATCTTTACCATTAAAACCAATATTCAGCAAAATACAAATTTTGTTCAAGAGAATATTCATATATCAGAGGTGGCCAACCTGCGGCTCGCGAGCCACATGTGGCTCTTTGAAGGATTACTTGTGGCTCTCGATAAATTTGAGTTCCCTTTTCATTTTTGTGTTATTATATTTAAAAAAATTATTATCATTCCATATGTGTTTTAAAATGTCTTTTAAATTACTGACAGCAAATATGAAAGACCAAGTGCAACGTTGTAACAAATTTCATTTTCGTCCAAGTTAAGAATGATATAACTCATCGAAAACTGCGGGAACGAACATAAACATAGGCGTAACGGTTCCGTTCGTCGAATTTTCTTCCCCTTCGATTGCCTCATGTTCCTTTGTGCCAGTGTATATTTAGTTTTCAAACTAAATTATAACTTTTTCAAAAGGACATTAAAAATAAAAATTTTGTCATTTTCTCGAATAAAAAAAAATTGTTCCAATATTAAACAAGAAAAACTAAATTAGCATATAAAAAAAACTAGAAAGAATATTGATGGAATTCTAAAATAGATTTCAGGACTTGAAATATTTTAAATCGACTTTTGATTTTTTTCTGAATCCATTTGAAATTAACACAATTCAAGGTGAGTTTTCCATTCCCAATATAATTATGACCCAAAAAGCATCTGGAGAATTATAATTAATAGAGATGCAAGAACATCAAGCTTTACAATTAAAATACAAGTCAATGCCGATTACTGAATTTTGGAAATTTGTACTAGAATCGAAGTATCCCAAATAAAAAAAAGCTGCTTGTCGAATTATTTCAATATTCGAAACAACGTTCTTATGTGAATCATTTTATTACACTTTAAAATTCGTGAAATCCAAACACCGATCATTATTAACTAACCAGCATCTCAAAGAATTACTGAGAAGTGCTGTCACCAATTATTCACCAAATTTTAAAGAATTATCAAGAGAAGTAAAATAAATGTGTTTAATTTTTAACATTTAAATTCAATACACATATTTTATACTTTTATTTATATGTTTTCAATAAATATAATTTCTGTAAAAAAAATTAATATCCTTTTTGCATACCTTTTTAATTGCGGCTCGCGAAAAATTTCAAATTTTGAAAAATGGCTCGGACTATCAAGGAGCTTGGCCCCCCTGTCATATATCATTAATAATCAAATTGAAGTGGACTATTCCTTTAGCATTTTATTATACTCCTGCATAACACTTAATATAACAACACACCAGCTGTTGAATGAATTTTTTTTTCTTTTTTTTAATCTCGCTTAATACATTTTAAGAATATAATAGTGTTCTTTATTATTAAATTGGAATTAATATGCATTTTATACATCTGCAATTTCTTAAAAATTGAATACTTACATACACCAATAAAATTACATGTTACGTGGCAGCTTTATGTGCATAACTCATTAAAAATATTTTACAACATCAAAGATACTGACAACTTACCTTGAAATAAAAACAGCACTAATTACAGGCAACCAACCGGTATATAATACTTGTTTTGTAAACTTATTTTTCTTTGCTATGACAACCCACAATGGAACAAGCAGAAGAAATAACACAATAAGAAAAGGTGCCACCCAATTTTCAGTTACTACACAAGAAAGGAAAAAAAAAGGGGGAAACAAATCAGAATTCATCTGAAAATAACAGAATCTGAAAAATTAATGTCAAACATTTAATTCACATTCAAATTCATAATTCAAAAAAAGTTGTTGCTCAGAATGAAAAAACAAAATCCCAGTATATGAACTTTATTTACAGTATACATGAAAATAATCCATACATCATATGTAAAATATATTAATATTATTTTATATAAAATACCATACAGATCATATATAACATACAGATCACGTAAGAAATCATGTAATATTTTATATACTATTTAAATTGCAATGCCCCTCCTATAGCAAAACAAATCAGGATTTTGATTATATGGGAATGTAGTTGTGTGTATTGCAACTTAGTTTCCACTTCTCTGCCTCATATTATATTTCTTAGCAGGGTAAATTATATTACTTTCTACTGCATAATATTAGAATTTAAAAACGGATATTTTTTTCCTTTGACCTTTTGCAGAATGATTTCAAGATGATGATCTGAAGATACTTACACCAATGCTAAAATTACTACTTACTATCTAAGGCCTAATCTAGAGTTATACAGAAAAAAAGCACATCAGTTTCAAATTTATGCAAAATTCAATCTTGGAATCTTTAAAACCCAGCATCAAACTAAGACTAAATTTTTTAAGTGCTATCACAACTGCTGTAGAATATTAATATTTTTTTAATGTAAGTTACTCAACATTTAAACTACTTGTTCCTAAAATTATGCATAAAGTACTATGGCTTAGGGAACTTTTCATTTCTCACAAATTAAAATAATATAATATTTGAGATATCCTAGCTTGACATAGAAAAGAGAAATTAGCCAAAAAAAAATCTGAGATTTGGATATTATTACATACAAGATTGCCGCTGAGGTGACCATCTAATTTTGCTAGCTGCATTCTGTACCATCATAAAACAAAATTTTATTTTATTGCATGTCCTAAACTTTATTTAAACAGCGACTTTTTCATATGCATCTTGATCAGAGTTGGCAGGGATCTAGTGCAAAAAAACTATTCATATGTATATTATTATATCTGTATTTTATTCCCTAAGTACCACTGTTATATAAATAATTTGAATATTTCCAATATATTTTAACTAGTCTCATTCATATGCTTACAAAAGCAATTATCAACGCTCCCATCTTTTTAAATGCCAAACTGATGCCAGGATTATTACAAGTTCGAAATTTACCTCTCATATACACTTTATAGGTACAATAAGGAAGTAATGCAACACTTCCTTAATGCATACAATAAGGAAATACCAAATTCGCAGAAGAATCTTGCTAAAACCTGATGAAAATGATCATGAGCAAGCTGAAAATTACTATTTAAATAAAATTCTAGACAGGAAATAAAATTTTGTTTTATGATGGTACAAAATGCAACTAGAAAAGCTAAGACACTTTACTCAATGGCAACTTTGTGTGTAAAAACGAAGTGTAATAATAATACCAAATTTCACTATTTCTGTAGTACTTGCTACAAGATCTGCTCTCATATCTGCGAATGTAGAGATTCAATAACAAAAATACCAAAATAACAATTTAGAAAGAGAAACAATTTAAAAAAATTAAATTACATCATCATATTTTCTTAAAACCTTTTTAAGTTTTTTTTTTTTTTTCTATTGCATGAAATAACCTATTTTGTAATTTCAAATAAAAAAATTAAAAAATGGAGGGACTTTGGGCACTTCATTAATATTATAGCCCCCATATCACAAATGGTGCAAATATTATTGATAAATCACCAACACAAATCATCTAATGTCCAGCAGTCCTGAGAATGATCATTTAAAGTTTGTGACAAAAGAAATCCGAGTTAAAACCTTTGTTAGGAAATGACTGTTTTTGCTCTATTTCATATTTTTGTTTCTTAAATGTTTATACAGGTTATATTATAAAATTGTTTTCTTTTACTAAGGAGATAAACCAACTTTTTTTAACCTCCTTGTTGCTGAGTGTAACCTGCTTCTCAGAATCTAGCAGCAGTCTTATTTATTTATTTTAATGTTATGTTCCAGATAATAAAATATTGTTGGTTAACAAAAGCTAATTTTATAGCATATCCTCTTGATTTGAGTTTTATGCAGTATGTCTACAACTGTGATGAGTTTTATTAGGTTAAATCTTGAATATTAAGTATATTATTTTAGAGTCTACATATCCTGATTACTCCAAAAAGGATATCCTTAATTTTATACAGGAATTCAACATTTGGTATCAGTGATGGGATCTATAAGTAAGCTGATTCAGTTTTGTTTTTACTGATACGGATAAATTAGAAGCATCTCAAAAACAGAATAGATGGTTATTTACTGTGTAATAACTTTACATGCAACTGAAAGTACATAATCTAATGATAAGAAAATTTCGAAGCTAATAGAATCTACAGCCAAACAAATGTCAACATGTGATTATGAATACAGAGAGGTTTTTCATTAGAATCTGAAGAAAAAGATGAGCTTATCAATAAAGAAATTGATGGTTCAGAATTTTACATTGATAAATGGAGAATATTAGAAAATAAGTTGAATAATTTTCTGAATGAAAAAAATTCATTGTTGTCGTCATGTCTATTCAAATAGTGGCATGGACAAAAATGACAGCCCTGGCAATCTGCAATACGTTATCATACAAGGTTTGGTCTTTTAAACAAGATCCAATTTTTAGCAATTTATCAAAGATGGCCATACAATCAAAAATGTATGCAGCTGTCCTTTCTGTGTCTGGTCAGTTATCACATTTTTTGTAAGTCTTCCTCTCTATCAATCTTAATCTTCTGTGATGGCAAGTTCTAAGTCTGCCAATGGTTTTAGTTAGACTTCGATCTCCCCTGATGTTATGAAGCTAGTGCTTTACTGGAATTAAAAGTTCCTTTAATCTGTATTTGGCCATGGCATTTGTGTCCAAGAGGGTGATATTTACGTTATTATTATTCTTGAGATTTTGAGCCTCTTTTGTCAGTTTATCTGCGCTCTTGCTACATGTGAATGTTGACAAGTGCTGGCAACCACTGAAGAGTACAGATCTTATCTAGAATGAATGATCTTATCTAGAATGAATTTCGCCTAATGAAGCTCATTTAGGTGAAAGCGGATCCCATTGATAATCAGTAAGCTTCCATCCAGGATTGCCTGTGGAGCTGCCTATGAGTCACAGATAACAATGAGCCCTTTTGCTTGCTCAGGAATGTCAAGACCCTCCACTATTGACAGAAGATTGCCCGTGAAGTTAAAAGACTATGGCTCCAGTAACAATTCTGTGTTGACATGGAGTATTGCCTAGGATGGTCATAAATACTCCAGAACCTCTATTAGTGGTCATCAAACGAACCATCTATATAAGCGCATTCAAAGTCCTTTTTTGGATACTCTTCAATGGTCCTTATCCCTTTCAGTTTAATGATGTAAATCAATTCCTATTTATTGCATCGCTCTAGTAGGTTGAGTACTATTTTAGAGTTTACAGGAAGCTTGGAATAAAATGTTGGTTCATGGAAGATGGAAAATTTGTTGTGATCAAGGCCAAGAACTACTCTTAATATCTTTGTCTAATTTTACAGGTGACGACCTTTTTGGTCTAATGCTGCCATTATAGTTTTCAAAGTTTTCCTAGCGATGTGTTCTGGTACACGGCTTCTTGCCTTGTTTGCAAATTTTGTTGCATTAATACTGTCCTCTTTTTCCAAAGCTTTTGAGGCCTCATTTACTTTTAAAATTATTGGATTCCACATCACATACTGATGTGGATGTAATGATTAGTGGAAGATATAAATGATTAGTCATAAATGATTAGTGGAAGATACAACACTGGTAATGATTTTTATAGGATACTTTGATTCTCCTAATACAGCTCTGGAAGCATGAGTTCAAATGGGAGACGCATACTCCATGATTGGTCTAATTAATGAGTGCAAGTTGTTCTAAGTACCCTGAGAAAAGCTCCCTATTTTGTTCTGCAAAAATTTTCCATAATTCTTAATCTTTTCAAAGCTCTGTCAGCATAGGTTTTGATATGCTCAGTTAATCTCTATTCTGCATCTATGGTGATTCCCAAGTCTGTTGGGCATGATGTCTTCAATATGCATTTGACTTCAATGCATAGTTTTGGATTATTCATCAGATCTCTATGCTCTCTATTTGTTGAAAAGACGAGACAATACAGGGAGCCTGTAATCTCTAAAGAGTATGTCTTCAGGTGGTGGATAGGGGAATGGCTCCATAGGTTTTTCCTTTGGGTGGTAGAAGGGAAATGAAATACCCTCCGCAAGACAACAAGCAGTAGTCCAACCTTTCAGGCAATGGCACTCCTTTCTATGATGAGTATAGATTAACCCTTTGGGTACACATTTATTTGAATTTTTTTTTTTTTTTTTTTTTTTTTTTTTTGCACTTGGAGCATATTTAACCCTTTGGCTACATTTGACATATCAGTACGTCATGTATTTGTTCAGGCAGATTCACATGGCGTTCCGATAAGTCACTGAAACTGAGATGAGATTTAGCTAGTTCATTCTGGTTTATTTCAAAGTAATGTGTATCTGTTACAACAGAACAAATAATTTCAGTAGTTTGGTGAACCTTATTTGGGATACAACCTAAAAATGACAGAAACAGAGAATATATTTTATCAAAGTGATAACAGTTTTAATGAACGTATTGATTCCAGGTACTTCAAAAAGCTGTTTTACATCAGGTACATTTTCTTTTCTTCCCAAATCCATTCATCTAATTTTTTCATAAGAAGATTCACTATCACTTCTTAGTGAATACGTCTTATGCCTTGGAATAATTTCACTATCATTATCACTTTCTAGTTTTATATATTCTTAATCATTTTCATTTTGAAATTCCCCTTTATTGCTTAAAGGATCATTATAAAATTCTTCATCAGATTCAAGATCACTACTTTCATTAAAACTGTCGTTATCACTTTGATAAAATGTATTCTCTGTTTCTGTCATTATGG